GGAGGCAGATGGGACAAACCCTTCTGGTACATCTGGAATAGCATCTGCCAGAAGGAAACACTCTCCTGATGTACTCAGCTGAAGGCTGGCAAATATTCAAAACAGGAGGCTTGGATTCCCATTTGTAACCTGCCTCCTAGTCCTCAGCTCCACTTGCTCTTATGGTAACATATGATCTTCCTTTGACTCCTGCTGACAGTTCGTGCCATCCTGTGGTGATGAACTCGAGGCTAGCCCCACTGGATGAAATTCTCCCTTCTGTCAGTTTTGGGGCTGGTTCATTCAGTATCACTGAGTGTGAATCCTGGTTTGGGCAGAAGGTGACAGATACAGCTGCACTTTTCTCCTTGCTTCGGTTCATCATTACTGTTTGTTTTTGTCATATTTGAAGTAATAATTGTTTCCTTTATACTTGTGGAATGATCTGACTCTTATTTTCCTCTCGCCCAAGCAGGTATTTGACAGCAGGCCTGTACTCAGCATCTGCCTGAAGGTGAGCAAGAGTTCAAAATACTGAAGAGAGCAGCTTTCCTGAATCATTGCCCATTACCGATCCTGTATATTCCAGTACAACCTTCACATGGATGTAGTCTTATGAAGCAAGAACAGCCTATGGGAATTAATGTATTGTTATCTTGAAAGAATGTATCATTAACTCATCTGACTTTGGGATGGTTCTTTGAAAAGGAGTTTAAATTTACCTACTGATATATTTATCATCCTTTTATAGTACGGCCGTCAATTTGTAGAAGCCTTTCTGAAGCTTGCCATGCCTCTCCTGGACCACAGCTTTAAAAAGCACAGGGTAAGCCTTGGGGGAACAGAACTATCTGGAACCAGTTGGGAAACGTGACTGATGCTTGCTAGAAGGAGTGACTGATGCTTCCTGTCTCTGGCCACACGTTGGCAGGACACTTGTGGCCCTCCATGACAAACTCTTCTAAATGTCTCCAGCTGTGCTCTGCCCTGTTCACTTGCCCATCCAGTGCTCTCCCAGCGAACACTTCCCCAACTTGCCATTACTCTGGTTAAATGACTCCACTGTTAGCAAAGTCCTTCCAGCCTCCATCTCCTTTAAAAGTAATTACCACAGAAGTGTCACTCTCACAGCAGGAAGCTCGTGTGAGCAGGCAGGTTGCTCAATGCAGAGCTTTGATATCTGGAGTTCACGTTGGATGTGTTTCAAATAGCACAACCCAGCAGTATATTTTGAACTTCTTTGGTTCCCCTATTAAGAAGTTGTATCTAAGACAAGATGTGACAAAGTTGTCCTGATTTTAATTGCCTCAGGTTTCACTGATAGGCATTCATTCCAAACTCCAAAATCAGTTTCAGTTCAGAGTGCTTGACCTTATGACATGTGGTCAGATTTTATTACCAGTTACTTGGCTTAGATGCACAGTGCAAGTCTCCTGTGGCCTGATCCTGTTTGTCTGATGTTTCCTCCACACACACATCAAACCTCTATCCCATAACCCTTGGAAGGGATTGCTAGGACTAATGCTGATTTAATATTCTTGTTTCCCTTATGGAAAAATTCTTTGAGAATGATTTGCTGGTCTACTTATTTATTGCAGGATGATGTGCAGAGTTTGCTGAAAACCTTGCAGCTGAGTACTAGACAACTTCATCACATGTGTGGCCATTCCAAGGTAAGATAAGTTCCAATTGCAGCAAGAACTCCTGTCCTAATAATGGTTTATTTCCCCTTCCACTGCTTTTCCAGGCCATAGGGAGGTTCTACTTGCATGCTTCCAGCAGTGTCTGTATAAGCAAAAACTCTGGAGAAAGTGAAATAGCTTTGGTTAATGCCCAAAAGTTGAAGAATTTGTTCTGTAAGTGGCTAACTTGGATTTCAGATCAGGTTATTATTTTTTAGGAGAGGTCTTCTGGACATCTTTGGTCATTGGCAGCTGTTAGGGGATGTTTCTGAGGACTTAAGCTAAGACCTCAGAGACAGACCTTGCACAAAGTATAGATGCCAGACTGATAATAGGGGAGAGAAGCTTTGCCAAAGATCAACAGCCTTGTGAGTCAGAAGAAAGAGCAATAGGTGGCAGACAGGGAAAAATGATGCTCAAAGTCCTCTTGAGGTGTCTTTTATGATATGTTGATACCAGGGAAGAGGGCAGAGGGAGGAGAGGAGGGTGGTAACACACAGTCTGCCAGTCTGTTTAGAAGACTTAGGGCAGGAAGGAAGGAGAGGATTAACACTGCTTACAGTGTGAAGAGATGGTGCTTATTGCAACAGAGAATCCCACGGGAGAAGGCAGTTGGAAAGAACTCTGTGTGTGCTGCTTTGTTCCTGTCAGACTCCAAAGAGGTTCAGGAACACGTCTGAGAAGGGATCTTTGCCAAAGTAGTTGAAGGGAGAAAGCCAGCTACTAGAATGGCTCTTCAGCCAGATTTGCTACCAATTTAGTCCAGAGCTGGCACCAGGGGCATAGAAATTTAGCTGGAGATCAGAACATGCCATTGCAGCTCTCACAAGATATCTGGCACAAACCCTGAGGATGCTAAAATGTCCTTCTCGTGTTTGAAAGTGAAATCCTTATGCCTGCTCTGAAGTCACAATCACCTTGGAGGCAGGATAACAGCATTTCAGGTTGCCATGTCATGTTTGACTTTGCACTTGAGCAGCATTTTCAAGTGCTATGTCCCATGGTCCCTGTTAGCACAGAGCTTAATTAGTGAACACCCACGTTCTGCCACTGCTCTTGTACCTGCTGCAATCTGAACAGGTCTCTGTGTCAAATCATTTTGCAAGAATGAGAAGGGAGAAGCTGAATATGGTCAAATAAATGCATGCCGTGAATGCTCCATAACCCATTTCAAGCCAAGTTCACGCCAACATTTTTCAGACCTACCTTGATTTCCCTTTCATACGGACCTAGTAGATGCTCACTGAGGTATCATGTAGTGTGACCTTGTTACTCTCCCTCAATACCTGTGTCTTTAAGGAGCATCACACAGCAGCCAATAGCAATCCGCATCACCTATCATTGCCTAAGTATTTGTCATTTCCTCTTTCACACCAAGCCTCTCGTCTGCTTACATATCTCATGCTGGACATAAGGACAGTTTCTGGAGGCAGATTTTTGCCAATGCTTGCAGACAGTTGGTCAGGTTCCAGGACTCAGGGAGCACTGTGAGTGTTGATTGTGTCATTAGCAAGGGTTTGCTGATTTGGTTCTGATTAGTGCTGATGATTGCTAGGTCCTGCCTGTTACACAGGCTAGACAACAGCTTGCTGTTGGAAATCAGTTACCCATTCCCCGCTGGCAGAACTCGAAGCAAAGCAGTGCCCAGGCATGTTGAACTCTTCCAAGAAATGCAGGTGACCTGAATTCAGAATATAACTCATGAGAGCATCTTAATGTCAGAAGGTTACAAAGTATTCTCATGAAAGAGGAAAAGACTTGTGCAAAAAATAAACCTGTACAGGTTTTGTCAGTTTAGCAGGTTTTCTGTTTTAGCAATAACTATTTTAAACTGCAGATTGAAGCGTATCAGGAGGAGATGCTCACCTGGAGCTAAATCTCACACGATACCTGGCATAGCTGCCCTTCCTCTGATGGTTTTTGCTCACACCAACTCCATCTGTTCCCTCCTGTCCTAGTTCTCCAAAAGCCCAGTGCTTCTTTGGTCCAGAGAAACCGGCTTTGTAGATTATAGTGCACACACATTCCATGTAGATGGGATAAAGGGATTGCATGAGGCACTGAGCAAGAAAAGATGTGATTGGTGTGGCATATTCAGTACGTTGTCCATTTTTATTTTTCTGAGGTTGGGAATTCAGCAGAGGAGATAGTAGCCTGTCTCTAGAGTTCATGACAAAAGCTGAGGCTCCTTCTGTTGTAATCATGGTGGATATGGATGTTTGGATGGCAGCAAGGGATCATTTTGCAGCCTTAGACAAAATACTGATCTGAGCTTTATGTTCTAACAATAGCTATAATTTGGCCAAGAAACTACATAATCCAGGCATGGATCCCCTTTGTGGGGATCATGTCCCATCCCTCCTACCTGATAACCAACGGATTTTAAACAGCCAGAGCACTTAGGCAAGAATCAATCACAGTTATGTTTTACTGTTTCATAGATTCACCAAGATATTGGACTGACCAACCACGTCCCTTTGTTGAAGAAGTCACTGGAACAATTTGTGTACCGAGTGAAGGCAATGCTGGCATTCAACCACTGCCAGGAGGCCTTCTGGGTTGGCATCCTCAAAAATCGGGATCTCCAGGTGAGAGTCACTGCCCTGCCTGGGGCAGTTACAGTCTGGGAAAGGACAGTGCTTATCTTGCCCAGACAACGGTAACTCTGACTTTGTGTAAGGATAAGAGCTAAAAGGCCAAATTCAGAGTGACATGGCTATGTCTAGTGCAACAGAAAGAAACGTTTTATTTCAAGATTATTAAGGATCTGCATCTCTGGGGCTGCCTTGCTGGGAGGGTCTCACACTGAGGGGTCAGATTTGTAATGACTTGGTATGGGGGTCCTTCCCTCACACAGAAGGGAAGAGATAAAGGGCACTTGAACACCTTCACACACTCTTGTGTGTGGTTTTAACAGAAGCTAGTCCTGGCTCTTTTCGTCATCCTTCACTGCAGAAACAGAACAGTTTAAAAAAAAACACTTTTTTTTTTCTTTCCACTTTTTATTTAAGAAGGCAACAAACTGCCTATTATTTCCCCTCATATACTCAGCTCAAGTCTTCTGCTTTCAACTCAGGGAGAAGAAATCTTGACTCAGGCCTCCGAGGAGCGGGACTCGGAGGAGGGCTCGGAGGACTCTGCGGCGGGACCCGCTGAGGAGGTACTTCAGGGGCCGCCTGGCAGCGGGGGCGGGCAGGGGGTGCAGCGCGGGCTCTGAGGGCGGTGTGTCCCGCAGGAGCCGAGCGGCAGCGACACGGAGACAGACACGGACACGGACACGGAGAGCGGCGCGGGGGCCGGGCCGGCGCGGCCCTGAGGCGGAGGGCGGGCGGGCGGGGCGGGCCTCGCGCAGGCGCGGCGGCGGCGGCGGCCATGTCGGTGCAGGAGGACCCGGTACAGCGGGAGATACACCAGGACTGGGCCAATCGCGAGTACATCGAGGTGATCACCAGCTCCATCAAGAAGATCGCGGACTTCCTCAACTCCTTCGGTGAGGGCGCGGGGCGGCGGCGGGGGCTGCGGGCGGGCCGGGCGGGGCGGGGGCCCGCGGTGTCTCACTGCCGCCTCCCCGCAGACATGTCGTGCCGGTCCCGGCTGGCCACCCTGAACGAGAAGCTGACGGCGCTGGAGCGCAGGATCGAGTACATCGAGGCCCGGGTGAGCAGCGGGGTGCCGGCGGAGTGTGTGGGGGGGCGGTTCGGGCCGGGCCCGGGGCCGCCCCCGGCTGAGGCCTTTCCTCTTCCCGTAGGTCACCAAGGGGGAGACGCTGACATAGGCCCGGGGCGGCCCCGGCGCCCCCGCCGGAGCACCGCCGCCCCTCATCCCGCTCGGGGCCCGCCGCCACCGCCGCCGCCGCCTCTGCTCGTGTTGCCAATAAACCGCTGTGCTCCTGCCCTACCTGCTCTCTGCCTACCTGCCTGCCTGCCTGGGGCCGGGCCAAGGGATGCCCGGCTCCCTGCCACCGTCCTGGATGTCCAGAGCCTGCCACTCCATCCGCTCGATCCATGGAGTCTGGGCACGGTTCCTCCCCACACGAGGGGGCTGTGCCACAGGGGCCGCGGGCCTGGCTGTTGTCAGCTCTGGGAAGCACCTGACCAGCCTTTGAGGTGCTTTGTGCTCCTTCTGGGGTCACAGCAGAAATCTGGTGATCCCAATGGTCTGGAGGATGTCTCAGCCTTCACGTGCACATGCCAGGGCAGTGTGGGGACAGCAGGCTCACCTGGCGTGCTCAGTGCACATGCCACAGGAGAGAGCCCCTTGCCAGCACCTGGGAAGAGGTGCTCATCCTCCTCGCTGGGAGGCAAGTGGCAAGGAGAAGAAAGTCTCTCAGCCCTTCCCACCACTCCTTTCTTTATCTCAGTTTTTCAGTGGGCATCTCGATCTGCACACTCACTGCTCATATTTAGCATTTGTTGGGGAGTCCATGGAGTTGCTATTTACAGTAAAGGTTTTACTGCTTCTCAGTGGGCTTTAAATGTCTTGGTATATTATTCTCCAACTGAAATATTTTTTTCATGATGGCAACATGATGTTTGCAGTGTTTACTGAGCACCTGGGTAACTTAATGTTCTTTTTATTTTTGAGGCTCTCTGACATCAGCTGGTTGCTCCTCAGTATAGGTTCTCCTCCAAGCTCACAGTTCTGTTCTTTGTAGGAATCTCTGTGTTTCCACTGTTTGAATAAGTGCTCCTCCAGCCTTTCCCCCAGCTTTCTCAGTGGTTACATTCAGGTTGGGCTGCACATCAGGGAGGCTTGGCTGCTTTTGGTGCACAGTGCCCATGGAAATGAGAGCTTTGTAGCTGTCCTGCAGTATTCCCAGTGGAGTGGAGCGGCCATGGATCACTGCACTTCTCTGCAGGGGCAGTATCAAATGAGGGATAGTGCTGCCACACAAGACTCCTGGGTAGAGGGAAAGCAGCCTCTCTTAGCTCCAAGGTGGCCACTCTGTAGCCCAAGTACATCAGAAGTACTCCCATGGTCCATTCACTGCATACTGTGGATGTGCTGGAGTGGAGTCCTGAGATCTCCATCCTTGGAGATAACTCAGTACTTAATCTGGACAAGTCCCTGAGCTGATCTGACTTTAAAGTTGGCGTGCTTTGGATGGCGGGGGGGGTTGAGGTAGAGACCACTAGAGGTTCTTACCTAAATTATCCTAAGATTCTTCACCCAAAGACTGAGTGGGAGACAGAGGGTACCAGAGACATCCCTGGGACTGTGGCTGTTCTGGGCTGACGTCGTTCCTGTTCCCATCCTGTAGTGTGCTGTGTCTCCCTTGGATCCCTCCCTGATCTCCTGGCAGGCTGTTGTAATGGTTCTCCCTTTTTCCTCTGACCCCAGGATTTCTCAAAGGAGTAGGTTTTGCCACGCAGTTGGTGTGGCCAAGCAGTTTTGGAATAGGGATCTGCTGGAAGGTACCACTTCTGCTAGGACATGTGCTCTCATGGAGCTTCAGCATTCTGGGATCAGCCTGTCTGGTTCATCCCCCAGCAGGAATGCTGGGCAGCTCACTGTGATACAGAGTTCTGCCCTTTGAGGGAGTCTCAGAAGATCCCTAGAGCTCTGCAAGACCAGGCTTTCTCGTTTGGGTGCTGCTTTTTCCAGGCCATTTCTGGGAGGTGGAGGAGCCTCCTGGTTCTCAGGCTGTGACACTGCTTTTTCTAACAGCTGCTGTGATGTGCAGCCCTGTAAATAGATGTAGCTCTGATTATATTTCATTATTTTAAAGACTGGGGAATTCTGTTTGCCTTTTTTTTTCTTTGTACTGTATTTTGGCTTTTTTTTTTTTTCCCCAGAATATGATGCCCCAGGAACCCGCATTAAACTTTTCTGGAGTGGATTTGTGTATTCTAATTTAGAAGACTGATTTATGTGTCGTGTTAGTGGTGTTATCCCCCCCTCACACTTAATGTAGCAGAAGATGGCTACATACTCTGTGCCCTCAGAGCATGTCCTGAGAGATCCAGGTACTTGGGCACCCCCACAGCTCTGATCATTGGCATCTGAGACATTTTGGTGATCTGAGACCTTTTCCCAGAGCCTGAACTGCAGAGGGAGCTGGTTTGAAGCCCCTGACAAAGGTGCCAGAACAGACCTGCAGAGCCTGAGCCAATCTGTAGCTTGAGAAGGCTTCGCACTCAGATGGCAAACAGGGGGCTTGTCGTGCCTACTACCTGCTGGACAGGCAGCCAAGCCTCATGGAGCAGCTGAACAGTTGGGCAGTCCCCGTTTGAGGTTCTGAGGTTCAGGAATGAGTATTTTGATCTCAGGCAGGGTGCAAGGTTGGCGTCACCATTTTTGTGGTGTCAGCAGAAGAGGGGGATAGAGCTTGAATTCAAGCTTTGCACAGTCCTCAAAGCTTGTCTCTGTTCCAAAGCACATGTTTTAAGATGAATGGATTGGATCAGACTTAAATAGTTCTGACTTTCAGTAAATAACCTTTAGGGTCTCTCTGCCTACTGAGAGCAGAGTCTTGATTTTAGGAAACAGCTTTAAAGTCAAATGTACCTTCATTCCATTTGTGTTGCAGGTGATTGAAAATAATTCAGTAAGCTGAGGTGATCTGGAGAGCAAAATGTGTTAGGACTCAGCTGAGGTGTTGAGGGAGAGCTGCACTCTGACCCTATAACTTGACAAAGCTGAATTTTAAATATCCCAGAAGATGGTGTCTGCTTGCATCCTGGTGCTGAGGCACTGACAGCAGTGGGAGTCACTCGAGTAGTTGTCTCACAAAGAGAAGATTGGCCTTGCCTGCATGGAGTTGCTGCTGATCCCCAGGTCAGTGAGCTGGGGATGTCACAGGGGTATGGGAGGTCTCCAGATTCACTGAGATTTTTGTGTCCAATTTCCAGAAGCTGCCTTATTACCCCTTATTACCCCTTAGCTTTTCTGCTTTCCGGCCTTGCCATCTCCCAGCAGGCACATCAGTGGGGAAGCAAGGCGAGGACAGGTCTCAGCCTGCCTTGCCTTGCTGACAGGGTTACAAAATGGGTTCTACGACCAAACCCATTCCACAAAATGTCAGGATTAAATATTGAAATCCTTGGTGTGTCCTGTGTGCTTAGAAGTGCTGAGGAAAGGGGCTTTATCAAGAGGGAGGATCAGCTGAAGCAGGGAATTGTCCCTCCAGCTCCTTTTGCTTCCCAGGGAGCACGTGTGCTCCCTGTGGCTCTGCCTCCACGAGGCACTTCCAGCCCTATTGCTAGAGCAGAAGAAATGAGAGATGGGAAGGGACCCCAGGGAAGTGGGAGAACAAGGAAGAGGAGAGGCCCTGATTTTAAGCAGGTTTTTTTGTGGGTTGCTCCTAGAAGCAGTCCTATGGGGAAAGTGTCCTCAGACCCCTTGATCCTTGTGCTTGCTGCAGCACTTGGCTCAGCCAGGCTAGGGGCTGGGTGCAGCTCACAATTCCCCACTTGTGCCTGTATTCCCTGCACCCTGGCTCAGGGTGTAGCAAGTGCACAACTGGGATTGGTTTTCAGCCTTTGTTTTTGCCTCCTCTAGGGTCTATAAGAAGGCCAAAGCCCTGGCTCTGCTGTGGGAAAGGAGTACTTGCAGAGTGAGGTGTCACAGCTGGAAAGCGCAGAGGCAGCTGGTGAGACAGGAGAAAATGGTGCTGAGGGAGAGGAGAAGGGCTGGGTTGGTCGAGGTCTACCGTGGAAGCTCAGTCATTAGCATGAGGTTCAGGAATACTGTTATGGTACTGTGGGACTAAATATTACCTGTCCTTTATGGACCTGTGCTTTGTGTTGGGGCTGTACTATCCATCCCACTGATGGCCCTGGGTTTCAGCAGCCTCCCTTTAACTGGAAAACTGCCCTTCTAGCTAAATTAAAAGGGGCAGCAGCCATTGCCCCAGAGGCTGGACAACCCCTCCCTCCTGCAGAGCCTCATCCGTCAGAGCGACGACTGTCGGACGGCTGACCACAGCGCATGAGGAGGTCAGTAACCCTCCCAGGGAGTGGGTGATACATCCTGGCCCACACTTTCTGTTGATTTAGCCTGTTCAGACAGGCCTAATTCTTAAGCTAAAATTGAGCTAAAATTTCACTGTGTTAATTTGAAATACTAATACAATGAATTATTTATTATGGCACGTAATTCCACAGAAGGGTACAGAATGAAAAAAAAAATTCTGAAAGATCTAAGTAAGGTACAAGGTTATGATCCACTCTCCCCTATGGTTCTACAAAAGCTTTTGTGGCTAAACCTCAGCCAAAGGCTTCTTCCAAGCTTTTGTGGCTTCTTCTCAGCCAAAGGTAAACAGCTGCCTTCCCGTGACCTCAGCATAACAGGGTGTGCAGGGTGTTACTAGTTCAGTGATGGTCTGGAAGGTGAGGGAATGGGTTGTACTTGCTGCTTCTTGCTTTTTCCTTCTCAAAAGTTTCAGAGTTTAAAAAATGAAAAGGTATCTGTAAATTAGCTGTAGCCTGCAAAATGCAGCTGACTGTGAGGCATAATCCCCCCTCAGTTACCTGTGCTTTGTAGTCTCACAACAATTGTTGAAGCAGACTTTATTTAAAGGAAAATAAATAGCGACTAAGTAAGTTCACAGAAGGGATTAATTTAACCGACCCATTGGATAAAAGCCAGGGTAGGGCAATAGGTGTCTTGGGAATGTTTTAATCTGTCAGAAATGTGATGACTAAAGGAGCAATTACTACTCTATGTACCATCCCTGGGCCCCTCCTACACTCACTTAGGAGTATTTCTACATTTCTCATGCAACCTGCCCATGTGACGAATTTGCACACACGCTGTACCCAATTAGTGTCAAGCATAAGAGCTGCTCTGCATGTGTCTCACCTCTCTAAACCCCTCCTGGTAGCAATTTTCCCAGCATACAAAGAATAAATCACCATTCTGCTAACTCTCTCAGAGGACAGTTCCCAAATAAGGG